CTTTATCAAGTAATGAATTCCTCCTCCCTAACTTTGCAGGTCCTAAACTGTAAAGCCCTTCTAGACCATTTGTTTTGTGAGATTGTCTACTGAAGCAGAATGTCATGTAATCAGAAATATGCATATATTTGCTACTTTTTTTTGATTGCTGTAGATGAAATACACTTTTGCATAATTTTCATTTAGTGTTTCAACTACGCTTTGTAAACATTGTAGTTTATAGCTTTGAATTGTCAAAAAACATCTTTTGCCAGAAAAATGCTTGCTTGCTTATGGCAGTCCCATATTAATATTTGAACAGAAGAATAGCCTATGTATTTGACTCTGAATGTTTTCTGTGTAATTAGTTGCATATCTCTTTGTTTATGTGCCTGCAAATACTAGAATTTGGTCTAAGAGAGCAGGGATAACTAAAGCAAGGTCATATAATTAGGGTTCTTAGGACTAAGCTGTTTCCTTGTATTGTAAGTCAAACCTCTGTGTGTGTGTGTGTGTGTGTGTGTGTGTGTGTGTGTGTGTGTGTTCATGCTCTTGTGTACATGTGTGCATGTTTTCTTTCATATTATATCTTTTCCCATGAGTGTTTTATATTATTCCTCTGAGTTTTCTAAATCTTATATAAAATCATGTTACTAGTGTGAGGCCCTTTTCTCACCTCTTTTTTTCCCTTAAGTTCTATTCCTTAAAGTTGTCAATCATTTCATCTGCGCCATATAGCAGAGACCGAAGCCTAGCTAGTTAATTATCTCTCACAGGAGAGACTGATGGGCGAACTGACTTTCAATCCTGACCTGTAATTCTTTTCCAAAGCTTTGTTCAGCTAATTGTATTCAAAAGGTTGTGTATTCCTCTTCCCTCCCTTGCGCCTGTTTATCTTCCTCAGCAATCTTCTTTGAGCACCTGGAGCAAGGGCATATTTCATCAAGTGATAAAGCAACAGAATGGAAGTTTTCTTTCTCTAGTGCACTGGCTGCAGACCACTTTGTTGTTCAGTTCTGTGTCAGGACAGTGGCTACAGCTCAAATCTGGTCACAGCCAAACTCTTTGACTACCTGCAAAAACCTCTGCAGTCAGGAGTTCTCATCTATAGAATGAACAGATGGCATTTCATATTCTATGACTCTTGTGCTTCTAAAGTTTAGGAAGTTTTTATTCTTTGTGAGCATCCTAGAATATCTATAATAACAAAGACATTAGCAGTTTTGTAGGACACTCTTAAGTGCCTCATTCCCCCCGCAACTCTTACTCCTTACTAATAGTAACAGTCATTACTAATACTTAAACACACACACACACACACACACACACACACACACACACCAGAGGTTTGGCTTTCTTCACTTTCAACAGTGTTAAGACTTTCCAGGCCTCATGTCCTAAATATATTACTTATTCTTATTTTTTCTGCAAATAAGCTTATTATCTCTTATTATTATGGAGATTACTTACTTTTTCAGTTGGGTACAAATCTGTATTTTCCCACAGCTTTGATATCACCTTATAGTGTTCAGGAGTTAATGTAATTAAAAATAGCAATTTATTGTAATCATTACTGTGTAAAAGTTTATAACGTGCGTTAGATGAGCAATAGATACATTTTTAGTGTTTTATGTTTTGTACATTTAATCTGTAAATATACATTTAGTCTGAATTAATAAAAATACATTCACAAACAGCACATAGTTAAATATTCCATTGTGAAGTGAAAACTTTCTTTTTATGTTCAAATTGCTAACAAATTTTGACATACATATTCTTTTTTTAATAGTGAAATAATGTATGATAAAATTCATATGGAATTTATGATAAAATTTATATGGAATCTAATTTCTCAAAGGTCACATTTTAAATCAATCTGATTAGAACATAATGGAAAATGGGCTGGAATAAGATGTATAATCATGTACCATGGAACTATAATTTTTAATGGAAAATTTAGTGTGAAAGAAAAGATTTTGAAAGGAGATTCTTCATATAATTTTGCTGCTATTTTTGAAACATTGAACATAGGAAAGGAATAAAGTGAAGATGTAATTAAAAAAGACTTTTTCAGTTCATGGCTCTTGGCGACAGAGAATGTTTCGTCATCTTTGACTTAATTCTGACATAAAGCCTATATAAAATGCAGTGTAGACTGTGTTAGTGATCAGGGGCACTTTTGAACAGGATTAATCTTCTCATGGAAAGATGGAGTGTTACTTTGCATATCTGGGAAGTAAGATTAAACACAGACTTCTAATGGCAATTGACTAGCCTATAGCATAGACAGATTTAATAATCTGACCATCTGACTCAGAGTTCCATGTTATCCAGGAAAACAAAAATCTAGTCTCGAGGTGAAGGTTTATTTGTACTGGCTGAAGATGCAGCACACACCCTGGTGTAGAGGGGTGTATTCGCTTTACTGCGGGGGCTGCTTGGTGCTGTCACTCTGGTGCTGTGCCTTTCTCTGCCAGGAGGGTTGAAGGAAAGCAATTGTTCTGTCTTCCCTTAGAGGACACTGTTCTTAGATGGGTTCAGGGCCTGGGCACGATGAGGCTGAGATGCGGAAGTATAAGCCATCAGTTCCACCTCTCCTTCGCTTCAGGGGCGTGGCCATTATTGTTTCACAGAGATATTACTAGTGTGGATGTGGGAATGGAATTTAGTGTAAAAACTTTATTTCCAATAAATATTGCTCTCCTTTATTTATATTTAGTTGTGTTTTTCTGTAATGAATCCTTTTTATTTTTGTTAGTCTCTTTTCCATTTCTATGACAAAATAATAGAAGCTATGAGATAGGAAGCTTATTTACCCCCAAATTTGTAGAGTCCAGAGAATTTCACCAGCCTGTCTGCCTCTCTGAAGAACATGTTGGTGAATGGCACTATAGCAGAAGTGTAAAGGGGCCCATTAAAAGTGTTCTTTTTCTCTTTCCACATGGAGAAATGAAACTGCCATGGACTGCTGCTTTATCTATGACACTTACATAGGTCTTTTCTCTGCTTTCCGCTGACTAAAAGTAGCCAGCTATCTGGCTGATTTTAAGGAAAAAGAGAAAACAGTAAGCTTCTCACTTTTAAAGAGCCTGGATGTTTGTGTTAGTTTGTTTTATTGTGATATTCAGTATCCTGCAGTATAGAAACTATTGGAGTAAAAACCGTCGGTCTGTTGCTAAGCTCACTTATTCTATCATTCCTTCCCTCCCTGTGGCAAAGACGGTCACACTTGTGAGGAAACAGGAAAGGTGGATGGTCTTCAGTGCCATTCCTCAGAGTTTTCATTCGCAGTAATTTAAAGCTTTATTGGAAACTTATGTTACTTGGGCTTTTTCTTCAGAACACTTGGACGTGTTTCCACATGTGAGAGGGTACTGATGAGAACTCAACCTTAAAAACTAGAGTCTGCCCTTCTTTTGGGAGTCATAAAAATAAAATATAAATTCTACCTTAAAAAAAGTAGATAATTGTTATTTGGCATGATTAAGCAAAGAGGATTAAGCCATTGTTAATAGATTTCAGCTCTCATTCTTTAGACAGGATAAAATGGCTGAAGTTATTATGTACTGGGAAGTAGATTTTTGTGGTAATTATCATCTAGGAAACATGCAACCATAGCTTGACTGTTGGGAATGGTAGATTCTGTTATCCCCATTCTAGATTGCTCTTCTTTATGTCTTCATGTCCAGTTGCCTGTTTGATGTGACTGGCCGAGTTCAAACCTATGCCTCATTTGCCACCTAGGAAAGTATCAGTACCTCTCTACTCTTAGACTTTGTGAATTCTTCTATTTACACACAGTCAGCTATCTACACAAAAGACACTTAGTATCGAGCGCCCAGGCTTCGTTTTTGCTAAGAGTACAGTGATAGATGATGGTTCCTTTTTGGTATTTATTATTACAAAATAGTGTTTCAGTGTGACATGATCTACTCATCTATGTATAATATATGCTTTGTTCATTACTGTCCTCCATTGTTTTTTTAACCATTCCTGTCCTCCTCTGTGATGCAGTTCTTCTTCCCCAATGTTTGTCATTCTATTTCTGCTGCTCAGTGTTTCCTTTAGATTTCACATAGTGTGTTTCACACATAGTGTTTGCCTCTAGAATCTGGCTCACATTATTGAACTCTGGTTACATCAGTTTCTCTGTGAATGCCTGGGTTTGGTTGTTCTTTATTGTAGTGATAAGAGCGGCGGGGCTGCGTCCCCGGCACCCGGCCGCCCTCATGGCTAGCTTATGCCCGAAATAATTACAAGGAAACTGTATTCTTTTAAACACTGCCTGGCCCGTTATCTGTAGCCTCTTACTGGCTAGCTCTTACATATTAATCTAACCCATTTCTAATAATCTGTGTAGCCCACGAGGTGGCTTACCAGAGAAGATCTTAACCTGCGTCTGTCTGGAGTGGGAGAATCATGGCGACTCCTTGACTCAGCTTCTTTCTCCCAGCCTCCTGTTCTGTTTACTCCACCCACCTAAGGGTTGGCCTATCAAATGGGCCTAGGCAGTTTCTTTATTAATTAACCAGTGAAAGCAACAGATCAGAAAGAAATCACTCCCACATCACTTTATCCATTCACTCTTTGAAGTACACATAGGCTGATCCAATATTGTACTTTTTGTGAACACTGCCAAGCTGGTCATGGATACATACGCACATGTTCCGTGTGCTGACTCTGAATCCTTTATAAGCAGTCTTACTTTCTAGTGGAAAGAGATAGAAAAATAAATAAATGCTCTGGAATAAAATGTTAAAAGACATAGTAAAGATGTTGGGTAAGCCGGGTGTAGATTTTGTAGATGCGTAAGGCATCCAAGGGCTTTTTAGTGTGTTTGGGTAGAATTCCTTCTCTGTAGTATGGCAGAGAAGGTGTAAATAATTTGCAGTTAGGCAGCAAGCAAGAATAGCAAGGGGGCAGTTATAATCAAGTTGGGAAAACATGGTAGTCCTAGGAGGAGAGAAGTAGCAGCCAGGGAGATGTTTTTGAGTGATTGTGTTGGTTAATTTGGTTTTTAGGAGGTAAGACCCATTAGACACTCTGATGGACTAGCTGTTTGCCATAGAAGTGCAGAATATTCAGTTTGAGCCACTGAATTAAGAGTATGCTTCTTTTCTGCTGTAAGGGTTGATATTGGAAGAGGGATATGGAGGGAGATCTACTTCAGGAGTTTAACTCTAGACATGTGATATTGACACTTCTACTAGAGATTCAGTTACAGATGTTGATGGTAAGCAGTTGGACCTCCAGTCTGGACCTCAGAGAGACTGGCTTAGGAGCAATAATTAGTTTAGTTACCTCTATTGTTGCAGCCCTGGTGCTCATCCATTTCCTCTATGCCTTGCCCAGGTTGTATTTACTCCTTGTGATTATTGTGATCTTCCCTTCTCGCCTTTCAGTCACTATTTGTGCTGTTTAGTACTTCATTGTTTAAATGACAACATTTTTTTACATTCTTCAGTGAGGGCCATTAGGTTGCCTCCGGGTTCTATGAACATAGTTGAGCACATGTCCTTTGGGTATATACCCAAAAGTGGTATTGCTGGGTCTTGAGGTAGGTTGTTTCCTAATTTTCTGAGAAATCGTCATACTGATATCCAAAGTGGCTGTACCAGCTTGTACTCCCACTAGCAATGCAGGTGTGTTTACCCTGCATCCTCCCCAGCATAAGTTGTCATCAGTGTTTTTGATCTTTGCCATTGAATGTACATCTTACACACACACACACACACACACACACACACACACACACACACACACCTATTTTCTCTCCTTTATTCCTGCCTCACATTCTCACCTGGACTTCTTCAAGCCTTGAATTAGTTATCCATTTTCTCAGGAAGGTCATTCTTGGTCTACATGCCTGAGAATTGTCTTTTATCTTGTGGTTCTTACTGAAAAATTGTCAGTTTATGAGTGTAGTTTGACTGCCATTATTTTCCAGTCAGTTGTATTGGGCCTTAAATTCTGTGACGTTGGGATGTCTGCTTCATCTAGCATCGCCCAGCCTAATATTTTTCAGCTGGTGCTTAGTGCATCTTATTACAATAAAAGGATAAAAGTAACCATGCAATAAAATCAGCCCTGTGTTTATGCAGTATGTAGGAGTATAATTTGTATTCCCTTAGGGCAAATAAAATTTACAGTGAAAGCACATGGTGTTTATGAAGAATACTGTATTAACTGAATATTTACTGAAACATTTGTCGTTTTAAATACATGCTATATCAAACAAAGAAGCCATTTGTTTAGTATCTTTTGTTTAATATTGTTGGTATCATTTCTTAACCCTTTCTAAATAAAGTTTATCCACTACTATAACTGTGTTCTTATTTGTTCAAGTGATCTTACTACATACACTCCAACACTTCACACTAGCATTTTCCACATTTATAACTGTTTTACAAGCTCTTTCCAGTTCAGTATTCAGCCTTAGTAAATTTTCAATCCTGACTCACCAGTGTTTCTCTGTAGCAGTGTATGTCCAGGTGGTAGGTGGTAATATTGGTGTTTTTCTTACTCTATAATTTATTATATGCACATGTTAACTCTTTTGTTTGGAAAAGTTCATTTCTTGCCCTTTTGCCCTTGAAGTTCCTGCTGATTTTAGCATAAATCTCTCTTTTGTCTTACAGCAAAAAGGAGTACAGATGATTTTGAAGAGAAGAAAGTTATTAAGAAAAGAATCAAGGAACTTAAATTTCTAGATCCTAAAATTGCTCAGAACCTTTGTAAGTATATCACATATGAATATCATTAACATATCGATTCTCTGTGGATTGTTTTTTGAAATCTACTCATTTTGTACTCATTTTGTGTCTTGTTTTTCATTATTTTAATTTCTTTGCTTGAATACTAAACTCAAATATAACTCTCCTTCATGCAAATTATGAGATTAAATTCTTGAAAAGATTAATATGTACTAGAAAATAAGAAGAATTTAAGATGAAATTCTGCCTCCCACAAATACAAAAGGAAATGCTCTTTAATGTTCTTTCTTTCAAGTATTAACGATAAGGAATTCGAATAATGATATCACACTTTGATAAAAGAATCAGTAATCCATCTATTCTTTTATTCCCCCGAATATCTATTATTTGTGACACTTGATCATGCAGGACAGTAGTTAGAATATTAATGGAAATAAAGATGAGGAGGAAAATGAATTTCATTATCCTACCTGAGCAGCTCAGAGCCTTGTCCTCAAAAGCATTGCTAGAAATATTTTAGATTTAATTACTGTTATGGGAGCTAAATACATAGTGTTCAATTGTCTTCCTGGCTGAATTATTATAAGAGAAGGCAATAATTTTGTTCCTAATTCATTTCGTTCTGCATTAAATGCATCAAAGAGGGTTTTGCTTGGAGCTGAGATAATTTGACCTGTGTATATTAGTTTCTGGTGATGCAAGTGGGACATAATATGAAGAATCTAGAGGGATAAGTACTGTTAACATGGCTTTTAGCCTGCTTCTCAATTGTAACATGCCTTGAGTGAGCTCTTGGCAAATATTGGAACCAAACAATTCTCCAGCCAGAGGATAATGATCTATGCAGTTGATTAAGGAGAGAGTTATATGAGAGAAATATGTGCAAAAGCTGGACTTTTTAGTTTTTCTATTAGTGTTTCAGAAAAGGCTTTCCACTCCAATATAGACTCAGATTAAATCTTTATGATCTATTATGGTGGTATTAATGCTACTGGCCAATATTTAGTTCGTTTTTTGGGGGGTGTAGATTGATTGCATATATTGGCCTATTTTATATTGTTATCATCTTGTGACTTGCTTGAGCCTTTGAATATGTAAATGGAGATGATATCACTTCTGGGTGGAAGCATTTGATTGTTCTTTTGGTCTCTTTCAGAGTTGTCCATCCTTGTAATATGATAATTACATTATACTGCCCAGCCCCCTTTCTTTGGGATGTATTTTTTCTTTTTCTCAATTGGAAATGATATTTTTGCATGTGCATAGTACATTACTTTAGTTATGGGCCTTAAATATCTGCGTATATGAGAACTTTTCACTGCAGTATCATTGTCTAACATAGAAGCACTGCAGATTTCTCATTGGCTGTTGTCAGAGTTATACTGTGTAATCTCAGAAAAATAATTTCATTTTTTGAAAACCAAGTGTTTCCAGAATTAAAATTGTTATTCTTGACTTAAAATTACCTTTTTATAGTTCTGAGTGCAGCCATTTGAATACAGTGCTTCCTGAATGGATCAGCTAATGTAGTTAATGTCTTCTACTCAAAGTTGGATAATTGACTTTCTGGACAAGGTTATTTGTGTGATTTACAGACCATGTACTAAAATGTTGTGAACTCAGAGATTGTAAACTACAATAGTAATCGTTATTGTCTTTGGTGCAAGTTCCGTGTTTCTTCTCACATTTATTGCAACCCACCAGATAACTTTCAGCATTGATATTATTGATAGGGAATCTGGTGGATTTTCAGTTAACAAACCTTGAATTTTAGGTGGTTTATTCTGACAGCAGTTGAGTGTCTTTGTGCATAATATACATAAAATATATGTGCATTCCTGTTTGTAGGTTACAAAGTCACAATATTGCCCTAGAGAAGGATCCTGTTCATGTTGATTGCTCTAGGTAGAGGGTGTTTTTTCTAAGTTATTTAATTGAGAAACATGTTTTAGAAAAATATTCATCGGAAAGATCCAGAAGCTACATCACTACATATTGGTGTAATCCATTTTATGTGTATTGCTACCCTTTCAGATTGTACCCAAGTGTTCCAATTTAAACTCTACCATGCCTTAGCAGCTGCTTATTGACACTAAAAGAATATTTGGAGTCAAAGTTGTTTTCTGGTTATAAAACACAGTCTTGAGGTATTGAATCGTAAGATTAGTTTGGTCTAGACAGTAACAGCTGGTTTCGAATGAAACAGCTTCATGGGATAGTTGGTAGGAGAATGCTAACAACTGACCTGAGAGATCCCCTTCTCAATATTACCAAAGAGAAAGCTTATGTGTCTCTGCTGTGTCACTTCCCATCTTTGAAACATGCTGTCCAACTTTGAGACAAGAGCTAAATGCTACTCATTTATTTACCTAACTTGTTTAAAGGTGGCTTACTTCCCATCTGTTGAGTTTATGATTGTTTTGGCAATGACTTAGGGCCCAACAACTCGGATAGAATTCTGGAATCAAGAAAAGTCTCGAGAGTTTTATGAGATTCATGTATTCTGCCAGATTCTTTAAAAGTTTGAATTAGACCTTTAAAGAAAAAAGTCCCTGAAATCTACAAATCAATGCAAAGGTTGAAATATTTATAAATAGCCTCACTGAACACACACACAGTCCCTGTTTGCAAAAGCTGTGTGCTGCACTTAGCTGAGCCATGCTGCTGCTGTAGTCTGTCCCATCACACTGGGAGGGGCAAGGCCTGCCAAAGCGGTGACATTCATTTTCTAGCACCCATTGGATCCCTCAATTGCATGTTTCGTATGTGACTCTCAGTAACTTCTAATCATTTGAAAGATAGACTTCTGTAAAGTCTTTAAGTTGAGCATAGGTATTCGGTTCTTCTCTGTTCTCCTTCTTAACTAAACTTAGGTCATTACAGCATAGCTATTTTAGACTGCTCTAATGCATCTGTTATGGGACTTCTAGAATTCACTAATGGTACTATAGTATGGATCATGCTTTATGTCAATAAATAGTTCTTGAAAGTCAGGCCTGGAAAAGGTGAATGGGTAGAACATAGAGAAACCCAGACTTGAAGTTTGCAGCTTTCTTTGCTAGAAAGTTGGTGACCCAGTGCTCAGAGTATTGATAAGAAAGGAAGCACCCTTCCTATGCTGAGATTTTACTGGAATTTCATCATAGTTCCTCCCTGCACAGCTGGTCTTAGTTTTCACTTCCTTCAGAAATAGAGCTTGTTCCATTGCTCAAAGCTGGTTCCATTGCTCAAATCCCACATCATAAATCACGTTGTTAACCTGAACTCTCTAGTGTAGCCCAATACCTTCAAGTAGCAATAATATCATTCAACTAGCAAAAATGACTCTTGAGTTTAGATATTACCTTTCAGGAGGATAGAACAAGGTGCCTTTGAGTTAGGCCAGCCCTGTATGTCTTACATTATCTCAGTTGTCCAGTGAGTGAGGTGCCCATGAGTAAGGCCAACCCTGTATGTTTTACAGTAGCTCACTTGTCCAATGTATTGTTTTCTTTTTATACTCTTCATTTAAGCTTATGATATCTATATTCTTAGGCTGTGTATTAATTTATACCTAGGAGAGGCTTATAAAATATGTGATATAATTTATAATCAACACCCATGGCTAAAGAAAACAACCATCATTTAGAGGCTTATTTATAACCATATCTATTTTTCTCTGTCTCTCCATGTGAGGTAACCCTCTTATCCTGTGTTTTGATGAAGAACTAACTTTCCTTTTAATAGTTATGACTGTTCTGTGTACCTGCTCTTCTTATACAGTAGGTGTGATATCAATTAGTGCTGGATTTTACATAAAAAAATAAACCACACTAATGCATTCCGCTATGACAGTGTAGCATTTCATTCACTGACTGCTATACTTGATTCATACTGTCTTGGATAACAGTGGGACAGCCTTCATGTTAAATGTAGCACCCAGGGTGTTTCATACAAAAAATTCTATTGAGCACTTACCAGCACACTTGCCAACCTAAAGTCCCTGTTGATAGTTGTGATAGAAACTGCATGATTGTGTGGTGAACTTTGCATCACGTATGTGATCTTTGGTTTCCATGCCAACTCACTCCTCTCCAACCTTGCTTCGGTATAACTGTCTTAGAACTTCATCAGTGTAGTAATAAGTGCAGCGGGGCTGTGTCTCCAGCACCCCGGCCACCTGCTAGCTCATGCCCAAAATAACAACACAAAAATTGTATTCATTTAAACACTGCTTGGCCCATTTCTATCTAGCCTCTTCTAGGCTAATTCTCACACCTGGACTAGCCCATTTCTAATAATGTGTGTAAGCACCCCAAGGTGCGCTTACCGGGAAGATTCTAGCCTACGTCCATCCTGGGTCAGAGCTGCCTGGGAGAGCGGAGCCTGGTGTCTCTGCTCCAGAGAGCAGAGCTGTCAAGTCTGAGCTCACTTCCTCTTCCTTCCAGCATCCTATTCTGTTTACTCCTCCCACCTATGTTTTAACCTATCAGGGCCAAGGAGTTTCTTTATTGCTTAAGCAATGAAATCAACAGATTGATATATGACACTCCCACATCACTTTCCCTTTTAAGGTTTAACTTTAACGTAGCAAAATTACATATAACAAAACAGTTATCAAGTAAAAATTACAATAATCTATATCATGACTAAGGAAAACTATAACTATAGCTAACTATTCTTAACTCCATCAAAGAGTCCAGAAAGATACAGTATTACCTAAGGAAACAAGAAATAAGCAACTTTCAAACTCTAGAAATGACAGAGACATCTCGCTGCCTGGACAGTCACCCAAAGTTCCTCTGTACCGTTGGGTTAGGAGCAGCGGGGCTGCGTCCCCAGCACCCGGCCGCCTGCATGGCCAGCTTATGCCCAAAATAATTACATGGAAACTGTATTCTTTTAAACACTGCCTGGCCTGGCTAGTTTCAGCCTCTTATTGGCTAGCTCTTACATATTATTCTACCCCATTTCTAATAATCTGTATAGCCCACGAGGTGGCTTACCAGAGAAGATCTTAACCTGCATCTGTCTGGAGTGGGAGAATCATGGCGACCCTCTGACTCAGCTTCTTTCTCCCAACATCCTGTTCTGTTTACTCCGCCTACCTATGTTCTAACCAATAAAATGGGCCAAGGCAGTTTCTTTATTATAATTAACCAATGTCCTTCCTCCATCACATCAGTGCCTGGTCTTGCTGATCTGAACATTACAGCATTTCCTTTTCAGAAATATTACTTGTCTAGTAGTTAGTGGTAAAATAAGTCTCTGAATACTAAAGTGTCATGAGCCACATTTTGGTGGGTGACTTCTGTCATGATCTATCCTTGACGGGTTCGTACATTCTAGTGTGGGGTAATGTAGATCAGAATCATTCGGTAGGACGAACAGTAGGGGGACAGAGATATGAAGGAAATACCAAGACATGGGATAGTACCGGGAGGGCAACTCAGTGTATATTGAAGACTGAATTGGCCCACATTTAATTTTATTATGCTTTTGTACCTCAATACAAAAAGGGGGGAAGAAGGCAAAAGACTGGTTTAACATGACTCAAAGGACAACCAGAAAAATTACTTGCTTCACTATTTGAGACATCAAGGCATTATTTCCTGAGTAAAGCATTTGATGCATTGGGCAGAATATGCAATGAATATACCCTAGATCAAGTATTCTGTAGGCAGCCACTGCCTATGTCAAACTATTTTAAAAATGAAGGAGCATGAAGTATTCTGTAGGCAGCCACTGCCTATGTCAAACTATTTTAAAAATGAAGGCTTGCATTCTTAGACCTTTGGTCAGGATGAAGTGGATCCACCTCAGTGGACCATCTTAATGTCCCAAACACCAAGTAACCACACCATAGGTCAGAATTTGTAGGCACACATGCTATCAACAAATTTGAAAGAGCAAAAATAAGCCCAAACTCTCTAACTTCCAGTCAAGGGGAGCAGGCTTACATCTGTAAATCCCCACACTAAAGCATATCTCCTTACCTCTCCTCCCCTATCTCTCTTGCCTCCTGCCATAAGTTTATGATTCCTGCTTGCTTTTTCCATTGCCCATGCCTCTGTCCTCAGGAGGTATTTCTCTATCCAGAGTTGAGCTTATTGTCTGTTTATTATTTCTTTCTATGTATCATTAACACTCATTTTTAGTTATTCTTCTATAACTAGTTTAGTGCATTCTTTGATGATTGCCTCTTATTCTCATTCTCTCAGTTGTTATTTATTAGTCTTTGTGATCATATGGTTTTTATATTTTTTGCTTGCCAGATAATGTTGCTGCAGATTACACATTTTAATTCTATAAATATCTGGATATTTTGGACCTCTTTTTTGTCTTACTTTTAGAATATTAATAATAGGCCTTCGTATCTTTTGACTTCTTGGGGTCAAAAATATGGAAGTAAAACTGGTATTGAGAGCACAGAAGATACCCATGTTCTCAAGAATGAAAAAGGGTTCAAAACAGAAGTAGTTAATGGTTTTAGAGTTTTGTGAGACATAGTGTATATATATATATATATGTATATATATATATATATAGTTTCTAGCCCAAAGGCAAGTCAAGTAATCAAAAACTTAAAAATAATGAGTTTACTGGGTATAAATTATGACAGTGTTAATTTTTGAGATGAACTGATAACCTCAAGCTGGCCTCAAACTTGCCATAATCGTTTCAGTACTAAGGGTAAAGGTGTGAACCACCATGACATGCTAAGAACTGAGTTCATGGCAATGTGGCAGTAACGGATGGGTGCTCTGACAAAGCATTATTTCTAAAGCCCTGCAAATAATAGCATATATATTAAAATCTCTCCTTGAAGATTATTAGATTATACAACAATGTATATATTATTAAAAAGAATAAACTAAGCAGCATTGAAAATTCCCAACAATATATGATCATCCCCTATCCATATAGCAAATTCATTATGGAATTTTATTTTCTAAAATAGTTTCTAAAGTTGAAGTCTTAGTTAAATGCAAATGTGTCTCTCTAGCGTATTTTCTAGACTATGTTTGAATTGTACTGTGCTGCTAGTACCTGTAAAGTGGAAATGCATTGCTTAGCTGTTTTAATGCTTTACTTTGGACTATTTAGTAGTGCTGGAAAATATTATACAAGGCAATAATGTGTGCATAGACAAATATTAAATGCATATACTGACATTTTATCACTTTCATGATGGTTTCTATAGCATATCAAACTTATTTAAGTTGTTTTAAATCACTTGAAAATTGGCATGATTCTGATGGTTGGTAAGTAAGTAAGGATTTAAAAGTCAGCTTTGACACCTACATAGGAAACCTAGATGGATTCTTATGTAGCAGCTCTAACCTGGAAGAGAGCATATACTGTACTAATGAAGTTTTCTCCACAGCAGTTCTAGAAAATGTGTGTATACTCTGATTTTATGTAGATAGATATACCTCTTGGATCTCTTTATAACTTTATACATTATGACCCTTTCCCACTCTCTCAGCAATATTCCTGAGCTCCTTCCGGGTGCCTTACAAGGAAATCAAGACGATGATATTGGAAGTGGATGAAACACAGCTGTCAGAGTCTATGATTCAGGTAAACAAACAGACACAGCTTAAATTCCAATATTTCATTGCAAGCTTCTCATTAAATAGTCATCTGTAAGTGAAGCAAAATTCTTAGCCCAAATCATTCAACTGGAAAAATCATTGCTGCATAATTAGTTTGAGCATAACTTCTGCATTGCCAGGAGATAAAACTCTGTTTCTTCTCTTAACTGCAGCTAAATATAACACTATCAAAATGATTGCATTTCAATTATTTTAAATGATTCTTTCTGAAGGCAAATTGTTGAGTTTTACAATATATGTTTTTGTTTTTATTACAGTTAAGACTAGTGGTATATTAATTTAAATTTGTTTTATAGCTTTACCAAATGTGTTTTCCTTTGTTTATGGAATTGAATCATTGTTTGGTAAAAGTGAGGGAGAGAGCCTTATTTCATGTTGTTAGCTTTCCATGTAATTCTTCCTGGCATTGCTGTGCTCCCAGAGGATCTAGGCCTTGCTTGTAAGATCCTCACATTCATTCTAAGCTAGAAGGTTCTGAAAGGTGTGTGTTGACCTTAGCATTTTGTCATGAGTGACTACGTTGAACTGAAATTATTAAACTGCATATAAAGTTTTCAATATGTGAAACCTTGACTGAATGTGAAGTTTAACAATTAAATCACGTGTGTGATGAGAGAAATTCTTTCATTCACCATTTTGTGTTCTGACAAGAATACACTTGAGAGTCCTAAAAAAGTAATTATAATACATATTTAGATGTAAAATATTTAATTATTAGCATTTATGCTATATATATAATAGTAATAATGATGATTATTCTTAATAACAAGGTAAAGAAAGCAACAAGCCAGGTGTGCTGCCCCTTGCCAATGATCTCTCCACTCTGGAGTCTGAGGAAGTGGAATGCAGATTCTGAGGCCTTGTGGGGGACTCCATGGGAGAATGAGGGTGGGGCACACAAGGGATTGCTTATAATCGTGAACAGTGGTTAAACTTCATTAGATGTTTTTGCCCATCAGTAACTGATACCTCTAGAAGTTCCGTTTGTCATACGGTGGAACAGATTTTTTTTGAGATTATTTGTGCAATGAGTCGCGTAGACTCAAAATACCCAATTCAACCACTTTACTTTAAGCACTATTTTTTCTCTGTAGCATTTTTATAAACTGGATTTTTTCTTTGTTGTTGATTGTGTATGTGGCTTCTTGCTGAGAGCAGATGCTTAGTTCCTTAAAGAAAATTTTTCTACATAATGCATATTTGTATTTCTTGTAATGAGTTTGTTAAGTATTTACAGAGTAGCTCTTAACTTGATTACATGGATGTCTTGATAATTATGTGCATTTTGTTGTCTAGAGAAAGGAAAAAGTTTGTTTATTTTGTAATTAATATCCATACAGGTTCATCTTCATATAATTTCTTAGTGTACTAGTTTCTTTTGGCCATTACAATTCACGTCATTGCCTACAGATTACAACAATTGACTATTTGCGTTACCTTAAAGTAGAAGCCCAGCACTGTTCTCACTGAGCTAAAGTCAGGTTTTGGCAGGTCTGGATTCTTTCTGTCTCCCTCTCTTACCATCCCTTCATGTTGTGGGTGGTATCACTCTGACCTTCTTTCCTCTTTGCATGATCACATCTTCCTGTTCTGTTGCACTCTTCACCCTCTTGATTATAATAGACACTGAGGTACTACAGGCCATTCTCACCACTTTAAGGCCATCTGATAGTAACTGGAATTCCAACTGTCGATAAGTGCCTCTTGGGTCTAGATTGTGTTATTTTTTATAACATACTTAATAAATGTAAAGCCAGTGCATGATCTGAAAATACATATATATTAGATGTTTTGTAGATTTTTTTACATTTTTCAAATATATATATATATATATTTATGGCTTTTTAAAAAATATTTATTTTATTATTTAAACAATAGTCTATTTGTGTG